AGAGGTTTGCAAATACTACATAACACAGATAACGTGCTTCAGCATGAATTTAACTGCACATAGCTAAGTTAAAATGATTTGACATTAGTGTGTAACTTTAAGAGCAATTTTCTTGTATTTTCAAAGCCATGCATAGCATACAGAAAAATGATGAAAATATATACAAAGATTTTAAATTAAACATTTTTAAGATATTTAGAAACTGGAAAAACAGAAGATTGCAGTCCAAACAGCCTCATCAATTCAGTGAGGTTCATCCTCACCGTGGGAAGATAAATTCTAAAGGGGGACAGACAATTCATTTCCCATGCATTTACCTAGTAGGAGCTAGTCTCAAAAATAAGTCTTTTTATATGTCATTGAACATATATCAAATATGCTGTTTGCTTCACTGCTGTGAAGACGAAAATTACAAGCACAGCTATAAATCACAAGATATATATTGGGTTGATATTCAGTGACCATTACATTCACTACAAGGTAGGAAAAGGGAAAACACAGATGTGAAACTATGTACATCCAGCAGTATCTGTATACGCACATACCAGACATTCAGGGCCCTGGTCTGGTAACCAAAATTCCACTGAAGTCTCTGTTCCTCCAGTTCCAAGGTGCCTGGCACTGGGCCTTTGGATGCTCCCAGCTAACAGCAAAAGTCTTAGTTGGTTACACCCTCCCAGAAATGCTGGCAGCATTACAGTCTTTACAAATTCAAACAAGCAAAAATCTCTGCAAGACCAGATACTAGTAACAGGGAACTCAACTGTATGTTTCTTGTGGAAGACAGATTCAAAGTCTGTAAGAAAAAACTATTTATGGGCAAGGAAGGATACCATGAGCAAGAACTCAGGAATCCTGAATTTAATTCAATCTTGCCACCATAGCCCTAAACCGCAAAGACACTTTGAACTAACTCAGACAACTAATCCTTACTGTTTTGAAGTAATTTAGGTATCTGAAGACTTGTAAAGACCTTGAGGGTATGGTCCTAGACCTCTCTGCAACTTGCTTTCTTCACCACAGCCTCCAAACAATAGTATGGGGCAAGAACACTTCTTTCCTCTCACCTTTAACATGCTTTTCAAACTGGTACCTCCTTGCCAGAACAACTTCCCTGCTCAGATGGAGATGCTAAGAAACTACAAATTGCAAATACACAATTGCCACGAAATGCAACAAACATAATGGGGAAAAAAAAAAAAAAAGTCATTCAAAATGTTAGTAAGTTAAAAATATAGACATGCAGTAGCAACACCTAGTCAGGAGAGAAAACCAAGCTGGATTTGGCAACTGCTGAAGCACATTTGAACCTACGGTTCAAACCCGATGGTTTTAGGATAGAGCTCCACAAGCCACAGAAGTAGAAGTAATCTAACCCAGCCTTTCCAAGCTCCAATCTGAAATTCGTTTTTCACATCTCAGTGAAACAAGCAGCATTAATTTAGAATCCTATAAAGCTGCTTAAGCAGGGCAAAACTCTTATGTAGTCAACTTGAGCAATATGAAGGTTTATCTCAGATTTGCCTTGAATTATCCCAGTAAGGATCACACCTCTTATGTAACTTCCAGTGCCTGCATCAAAAGAAAAGGAAAAGTCAGCTGAACTGAAGGAACTCCTGCTGACTTGGCAATAGCATTCATGTTACCCAGACTGGGAGGTGACCTGGAATACCAGCTCTGCATTAACACGACCTAAAAATGAAAAATGATTTGTGGGAGAGGATGTTCTTTGGTGTTTGCTGTGATTGTATGTGAGGTACAGCTATTAACAGCTGGCAGAGAGCAGCTGACAGATCACAGTAGGAAGACCCACCTGGCACCACACATGACGGTGACAGAGCATTATTTTTGGATGGCACTTGAAGCTAACCATAGGAGAACCTTCACGCACTCTGTTCACACCTACACAGCGTTAAGAGCAGAGACCAAAAGCACCACAGTCCATCAAGCCTGGATATTCTGCCTGGATATTCAGCCACTTCTGTGTGATTTCAAGCTAGTAGCTTCACCTCTCTGTCCCTGGAAAATGGGCAACAGGCCAAACCTGAGGAAAATGGAGCAGAGAAGCCACCTGCAAAGATAAGCAGAGCCAGTGTGGATCTAGGGACAGGGGGGACAGCACTGGGGAGCAGAGCCGAGTTGTAGCAGATGCATTGGACTGGAGGCAGGTCACTAATGGTGAGTTCACAGGAGATGTCTGCCACCAGCTCAGCCAAGCCACCCCCAGAATAAACCCTGGAGAACCTTTTGGCACCACACAAAGCTGCTGCAGCAGAAGTAACAACACAATAAGAATCTCGAGGGTAGCATTTTCATTGTCCTCATCTCACAATTGTCTCATCTCTTCCTGAGGAGTCTAACCTCTAACTCAGTCACTAAGCACCGTTGAACCATGTGCAGTGGGAGCTCTGACAGTCAAAAGCCCGTTCACTGTCACAGAACAGTTTGGGCTGGAAGGGACCTTAAAGCCCACCTGGTTCCACCCCCCTGCCATGGGCATGGACACCTCCCACCAGACCAGGTTGCCCAGAGCCCCATCCAGCCTGGCCTTGAACACCCCCATGGATGGGGCATCCACAGCTTCTCTGGGCAGCCTGCTCCAGTGCTTCACCACCCTCTGAGTGAAAAATTTCCTCCAAATGTCTAATTTAAATCTCCCCTCTTTTAATTTAAAGCCCTTCCCCCTTGTCCTATCACTGCACTCCCTTGGTGAAGAGTCTCCTTCCTGCAGGCCCCCTTTAGGCACTGAAAGGCTACAATAAGGTCTCCCCAAATCCTTCTCTTCTCCAGGCTGAGTAACCCCAGCTCCCTCATCTGTCCTCATAGGAGGACAGAAGTTTTTCCATACAAGGTTTCTGACTGCTCAGAGGAGTCCGCCCTAGCTGACAAATGAAGAAGTGCCAGATACACACACAGCACTTGGGATGTGTGGTTGTATGGAGCTCATAAAGCAGATGGGAAGATTCAGCTCTGCCTTTCATCAACTGCAATAATTTTAAATAAAATGATCCTAAAGGTATTCTTGAATGTAATTTGTTTCACTAATAACAAACAGCAATTAACAAAATTCTTGCCTAAATAATTTAAGCAGCACTAAGACCTTAAAAAAGCTAAGCAATCTGTAAAAACAATTAGTGCGCAATAACATTAAACACCTCAGAGGATGACAAGCCATTATACTGTAGGTAAATTAGACACGTTAGCCGGTAGTGACTCTAATGACAGTCTCATTCCTATTCTGACCGCTTTGTAGTGCGGGCAGCCCAGGATCAAGCAGTTTGCCGTCTGACTGACAGACTGTTATTCAGCATTCGTCAGAGACAAGGTATTTCCACAGCAGAGTTTGACTGCCCTCAGCCAGTACTGACTTGAAATTTAAAGGATGCTAATAGCAATAATTTGCTGTCAGGCTGTGCTTACCCCAGAACGCCCAGAACCTGAAGGCTTTACAGGAAGCTATTGTCAACTGCGGAAAGGATTTGGACCAAGAGCTCTTAATAACCTCAACTCTATCTTCAGGCTTTTCAGGATTTGTTCCTTCATCTAAGAACCTAGGCAACTGCTATGCAGACACCCACCGCACCGATGCCAGCAGGACCCAGCACACAAACATCATGCGAGGATTACTCACAGAAGTCGTGTACTCAGAGTCAAGGCTGAAAGCATGCATTAAACACAGATTCACTCTGAAGCCAAAGGCTTAATCCTGCTCATTTTGTAACTCTCACAACCTGTCCTTATTCACAGATGCAGAAGGCAACACATACTGCAAGTGAAGGACACAGCCTCAGAAACACATGGCTATTTACACAGGTGTTTAGATTTGGAAAACAACTCAGTGAGTCCATATTCAAACACAAAACCCTCATGTAAATCATCCCACAAGCACCTAGACAGTGCACATACCTGCATAAACAAGAACATACATCGGCCAGACCTTTTTATAGGGTTTCTGAAGGAAGAAGGAGCCTCTGTGGAGATTAAGTAGTTGCTGGCACTCATCTGCCAGGGTTCAGCCCACATTAGCAGAGGTGCTTTCTCTGACCTTGCTAAGCTACACACTGAAGAGCTCTTTGAATCAGGAACAGAATGCAAAGGGAACAGCACTCCCTAGTTTTGAAAAATACATTTTGATAAAGTTAACTATGTGGGGACAATCATCTACTTCAACAATAGGAGCCAAGTGAGTTTATAGGAAGAGAGATGCAGAGGTGTCAGATGTTTTCACTACGTAGCAAGAACCTGGCTATTTGAACACCTATCCAGTACCATGTTATAGAATATACTATTATACAAAGAAATACATGCAAGCGTTGTATAATACAAATCAGTAATGGGAAATCTTCTACTTCCTCATACGGATTTTTAGCAGAAGTACAGATTTGTTCTTCAGAACTGTGCACAGCCAAAATTGTTTCACAACCTCCTGCGTGCAGGAGTGGTAGGGAGAATAGTAATCCATGTCCTTCTTAAATAAGGATACTACCTTGTGAAAACCCACCCAATATTAGGCTACTATGGAAGGCAGTATTACTTCAAAGCCCACACACAGGTTGTCTACAAAGCTCTATACCTGCTGACTAGTTAAAACAGAGACCTGCATTCATAGAGGTTCCAGTACAAACTGAAACCTGGAGCTTTTACAATGCTCTTCCATAAAAAGAAAAGAATGATAGCAAAGAATGTCATTGTTTCTGTTAATTGTATTACAATATAGAGAAGTTTACCTGATGAGGGCTTCAATTTCCTAGCTTTCTACCCATGTTAAGAGCAGCAAATCTATGCAGCAAGAATACAGAGTTCTACATCACTATTGTTTGACTATTTTGGTATATTCACTACATATCTCCAGTGAAAATTTCACTTAAAAAAGTGTTAATTCCTAAAGCAGATTGATTTAAAGTTCATTGTATTTAGCACTGTGCCAACTGAGCAAGACACAGATGAGAAACCACAGCTCACTTTATTGAAAGATATTCTCTTCCATAAGCATCCTTGAGATAACCACTATACCTAGACAGTGGAAAAAACATCTGGGCAGGTGGAATAGTTGAGAAGCCACACAGTTTTTGTTTGTAAACCATGTGGCTGAAATAGACTAAAAAATATTTTTTAAACTGAAGTTGCAGCAGCTTTGTCAACCTTCAAAGCAACATTTGGCTTACAAACATGAAAAACAATGCATCGAGCTCTCCCTTGTATCACCTATCAGAGTAATTTTTTTTTTAAATGATTAATCTACCTAAAAATGTAAATCTGCGGCACAAAAGAATTAAGATAAATTAATAACTGAGACCAACCCAGTGTCTTCCAGTTTTCTACCCTGTGCTCTAGAACAAGGATTCTACATCAGAACCTTTTTGCTAGCTCTGTATCTAAGGGAGGACTTCTTTCAGGCCTAGCTTCTATTAACACAAACCAATTTAACATCTCTCATTGCTTTTATTTTCTGCAAGCTCCAGGTGCTGAAGGGTGTGCTTTTGAAGAGCTGCAAAGTTTCTGCTATCCCAGCGGACAAGATACTAAGCAATCACACGCCGGCTCCAGTTCACAGCAAACAAGTTGAGCTGCATTCGCAAAACAACGAAGAACACCAAGTAGCGCCGTGCACCAGAACAGAAGCCCCTAGGAACTGGGATCTGATTCACTCCGGCATTTACAAAAGCAAGGGAGCCTTTTTGCAGGTAGTCTGGCTACCACTAACCCCGACCTTTCGCCTGCAGCTCAAAGGACAGGGAGAAAACCCAGCTTCCCACCTGGCGGGGAGGGGAAGGGAAACCCCCGGGCTGTCTGCATTTCACCCAGCCGCTCGAGCGGGTTTTGGGGGAAGGCAAATCTCCTCCGCGCCCCCTTTCAGGCCGGGGGCGCCCGGGAAGCCCTCCCTGCCGCAGGGGCACCCGGCTGCAGCCCGGCCCTTCGGCCGCTCGGCCCGGGGCGAGCCCCCCACGAAAGTTTGGCGGGGCAGGAGGGGTCGGGGCCGGGCAGGGGGCGGCAGGAGCGGAGGGACGGCGCCAAGTTTGGGGCGGCGAGGGGCTGCCCGTCCCCGGCCGCCCTTGAGCCGGCGGTACCTGAAGCCGGCGACTGCAGTGTGGTTCCTCCTCCACGCCTTGCCCTGCTGCAGCAGCACCCCCTGCACGATCTCCTTCTCGTCGGGCAGCCGGTAGACGGGGAAGACGTAGAGCCAGCAGAGGACGAAGACGCCCAGGGCGCTGGCCCCCACGGGCAGGCGGGTGCGCGGCCACTTCCACGCCAGCCCCGCCATCCTCCTCCTCCTCCTCCCGCAGCGCCGCCGCGGCGCCGGGCTGCGCTCCTGCATCAGGCCCTCGCCGTGCGGGGGCCGCCCAGCCCCGCCGCCCTACGCCCGGCGGGCCGGCCGGCGCCCGCTGCCCGCGGCCATGGCATCCCGGCCGGGCTCCTCCCGGGGGCTGCGCCGCGGCTGCCTCCTCTCCCGGCGGTGGCTGCTGCCGCCCCTCCTCACGGGCATTTGGTCCCCCGCTCTGCCCGCCAGGCGAGGCGAGGCGAGGCGATGCTCCCCTCCCTCCGCCTCCCGCCCGCTCTCTTTACCGCGGGCCGCCCCGGTAAATTTCCACCCCGGACCCTTCCCTCGCTCGGCCCCGCGCCGGGGCTTCCTTCCGCTCGCACCGGGGCCGAGGCAGCTCCCGGCCCCTGCGCGGGGCTGAGGAGCCGCCGCCGAGCCCCCCGCAGCCCGGCCTCCTCCCCCGGGAGCCGCCGCACCGCCCGGCAGCCGCGCTCCGCCGGGGGCCGGCCCCGCAGCGCGCCCTGGCGGCCATCTGCTGCCCGCGGGGCCTGCCCGCCACACGGCCGGGAGCCGGCTGCCGCGGAGCAGCCCCCGGCTCGGGGCGGCGGCTGGGAGGGAAGAGGTGGCCCCCGAGGCTGAGCCGGCGGTGCTGGGGGCGCTGGGTGACAGAGCCCGCCGGGAGCGGCCCGTGTGAGAGGGGAGCGGGCGCCGGCTGGCAGCGCCGTCATGTCCGCGTGTAGCCACGGCGCTGTAACTCGGGAGATGCAGGGATGCGGGGGGACATTCACAGCCTCTCTTGTCCGAGACCTGTCACTGCGGTATAGATGTTGTTTGCACTAACGCCTTACACAGCACAGCTGTCTAGAGCAAGTGGGAAAAGAAATAGAGCACTGTGTCCCTGGCCAACACCTGGCAAATCCCTTCCGAGCAGGACAGGTGTTTGCATCCTCCCTAAGTAAACTTGCTTTTTTGGTGAGGAAGCTCTTTGTCGACGGTAGCATAAAACTGTCCGATCAACTCTACTAAAACCAAACAGAACTAATCGATCCATCCCTGGGGATGTTCAAGGAAAGGTTGGACCTGGCACCTGGCGCTTAGGGGTTTAGTGGTTGATATTGGTAGTGGATATTGGTTGGACTGGGTGATCTTGGAGTCTTCTCCAACCTTTATGATTCTGTGATCTTTAGGGAGACTTATTCAAAATGTAGTTAGCTAGACTTATCAAAAGTAAAAATTATTAAAAACATGCAAAACTGTGTGCATTTTTGTGTAAATGTGCAAAACCATGCACTCCGGATTAAATTCTGCCTCATTGCTCACCTTTAGTCAAAAAGAGGGACAAGCCTGAGTCTTGATGTCACTTAGGAAACCAAAAGTGGAAAAAGGAACAAAGAGAAAGTAGAAATGGCTTATTATTTCACTGTCCAAACTGGATGCAATGAAGTAAGTAGAAATTAAATAGATGCAGTTATTTGCTAATTTCTTCGTTAACGCAGTCCCTCCTTAAGTAGAGTAGGGAGGGATCATTTCCTTAATAAAGGATTATTACTTACACAATTATCACTTACACAATTAGATGCAGGATTGGGGGATATTTTTTATGTGTGAACCTATAAGGTATTCCTAAGCCTTTCGCCTTATTTTTCCTTTCTTTTTTTTTTTTTTTTTTTCTTTTTCCTTATTATCTTTCAGCCTCAAGCCCCCAGGCTGTTCACTGAATTTATAACAGTCCACAGTCTGTCTAGTGCAATGGCTGTTAACTCCTTCATCGTTTCCTGCCTACAGCACACAAGGAGCCAGATGTACCAAGACAGAGATGAGGCAGAGCCTGTTATGTTGTTGCTGACATGGCACAAAGAACTGAAAATGTCTGGCCTCATTCTGTTATTATACAGGTAGAAATTTCTTCTTTCCTTACCTTCTTTCAGTAAGCCCTGAAGAGAAGTGTACTGATGCTTTACATTGTGGGTAATGATTTCAGGTGGAGAATAAACTGCTAAACATTAATCTTGCTTTCAAGCAAACAGTCTTAACCACCTCAATGGCAGTTTGCAATCATTGTGAAGATGTAGTAATTGACAATCCATGCCTTTAAATCAAAGCCAAAAGATGGAACTATCCTCTCTGCTGTACTCCACATTAGTGAGAATTTCAATAGTGAGATTTGTTCTCATCTTCATTCTTTGGGTCCCAGGTAAGATCTACAAGCACAAAGGCTAATTATTCTGGATGAAGTTCATAAGCGGGCCTAATACAGGAAAAGACAAATATATAGCGAGAGAGATAGATGCCTTCAGAAAGAAACATAGAGAAAAAGCAATGGGTGAGACCAGTGAATAACGAGCATTTTGAACATTAAGAAGAAATAGTGTTACTATCCACAGATCAGAAGGAAAACAGTGTTATGATTTTCCTGGGTTCACTGTAAAATCCATCAGCAGACCTCTCTTCTAGTTTTCTATTGCCTGTTTATTTGCCACAACAATGCAAACCGTACAGCCATGCAGACTCATTCACAACATCCCTAAGCTAGCTGTACTCATCTGATGGCTTTGCATTTTCTTTTCTGCCCCTGCGGGTGGAGCTGAAACTCTGCTGTTACTTAATGCTGCTGCTGTATCTGAGAAAGCCGTGCTCAAGAGAGCAGGGTAAAGACCTTTTCTGAGCAGCTCCTTTTTCCCTTACCCCCAACCCAAAGCACATATCAAGAATAGAGCTGCCTCTGTTCAAAAATCCAGTTTTTAAGTGCTTTCATTTAGAAATTCCTACACATATCCTTTGGTGCCTTTTCTTTGCTCCCTTTGAAGCCCTCTCATTTCCAAAATGACAGGGCTTTACCCCTCCACTTCAACACTCCACTCATTTTCTGCTCTGCAGATTTTAGCAGAGCAGTTGCATTGGAATCAGCCTTTAGGCTATACCACCCTTTCTATGAAAATGCTATCGTGTCATATACCTACAAGATAAATCTGTTATCTTCCAAATGCACTCAGTTACCACCTGACTGAAATACCTCACTCTATGCACTGCTGTCAGTTCTGCAAGTATTTCATGCTCCATTAGTAGAGTCTATGTGAAGAATGGATTTATTTTTTTTCCTAAGGAAGAAGGGAGCTGAAAAAAACATTGGTATTTAGTGTATAATGGCAGCCCTTATTCCCCACTACTATAAATGTTCTTTGCTCATTTTATATGTGTTTTGGCCAAATGTTCAACAGCAAAATGTTCCGAAATCATCATCTGTTCTACATGTTATTTTAGGTCAGCTTTTGTATGATGTCACCTTTGAACATTCTGATTTCTTTGCATTCCTTTAACTGATATATTTTGAAAAACTAACATCTACATCTTCTTTTATAAGAATAACACAAACAATGAGAATGCATTTATGAATGGACAAAGAGTTGTCCATACAAAGACCAGTTGGTAAATTCCCATAATACTTCTTTCTATCAGGATTTACTTTGCAGCTTTGCTAAAACCCCTAACAAATGTGTATTCTCACTGATAAAACATTTTAAGCCCTACTATGACAGACAGTTTTCTATAATCCTATTAGAGGGGGAGAATTTTAACTACAGCCAAGAACAATATCAAATTAATATTCCTGGAAAAGTCTGGTGTCTAAATCTAATCTGCTTTTTACCTGGCTGTATCAGTTGGCCTAGGAAAAAACGAATGTCACTTCTCCTTAGAAGTTTTGCTATATCTTTGCTCCTCAGCTACCATGTTGTAATAATATTATTACTGTGACAACATGTACAATGATCTTTTCAGCTGCAGAGAGAAATCAGAATGCACAGGGAAGAAACATCAAATGGGGAAAAGGATCTTACTGATCAAAGACGGAGTTTGTTTCCTAAACAGAGAATGTCTATTATGAGCAGTGTTGAAAGGACTTTCAAAACATCCTTGTATGTGGCCAGTAATGTTACCTAGTACCAAGGTGGAAAAAGGAGTAAAAACCTACAGGCTTCAGTAACAAGGACTGTATCAAGCCATTAACCACAGGAATTTTGCTTTTGGGTTTTGCAGGGAAATTGGAGAGGAGGAGGGGACGTATTTAAAACAGATGAGTACAGCCTTTTTTTTTTTTCTCCACTACTTTGCCATTACTGCTGTACATCACTAAGGTATCTCTAGGAAAGTCATAAAGACCAGACTTGTATTGTACAGCACTGGCTTTAGGACACCTCTTTAGTACATTTTAAAACATGTGAAAGTGTCTACGAAAGACATAGGTGGTCAGGAGCTCCACTGCTTTTACAATATGGGAGTACGGTGAATTTCACAGTACATATCCAAATCTTCCTCCCTCACCCATAAGACTAATGCTCACACAATTAGTATAATTTTATCCAATTGAAGTAGATGCATCTATAAGCACAATAAGCGTATTATAATCTTTAAAGGGTTTGACCTTATGCACAATTGGATCCAGTTGTTCTGGCCTACAGTAACAAAGGGAAAGAAATCTGTTTCCAGACCAGACCACTGCAATATTTATTACTTAAATAGAAGAAGCTATTCTTCCAGAAGAAGCTATTCTTCTAGAATTCCTAGAAGAAGCTCTCTTTATAAAGCACACTGCCTCCATTCTGAGAGATCAGTTACAAAGAATAGTGTAAAGTTGCAGAGAAAAAAATTATGGTGCACACATAAGCATACATTACTGGAGACAGGTTTGTTCAGCAGCCTCTCTGAAATCTTCCATAGGGAAAATTAATCATGAGCATGCTGTAGTGAATGTGAACCCCCATGTGGCTGTATGCATTGTCCTTATTAGTGAAAGCAATTTCTACTGCAGTTAGGGGGGTTACTCACAAGGAGAAGGGCTACTCAGAAGAGTCAGGGACTTGCTGGAGTGGTATCAATTATGTGTTAGTTCTGTCACACCAAAAGCATTATGGCTGGAGTGATCTTTTTATGATACACCACTTAAAATGGAAAGAAAATGTTTGTAGAAGTAGCATTGGAACATGCACATGTACATGCATACAGACTTCAAACAAATTGCTTAAGTGAGTAGGCACTTACCCTGTTTAGTAGAGTTCCTTTTCCTTGGGGACTCAGATAGATTCTGACCTCATGTCTGACATTTGCTGAAATTTCGATCTGAGCTGTTGCTGTCAGGAAGCCATCATTCATAATTCAGCATTGTTTAAGAATGCCTGTTCATGAGAAGGTCATGTCTGATATACAGAGGGACATAATAAATTTGGTCTGCAAGAAGTAATCACTCTAAATAAATAAAATAAATAAAATAAAAACAAAGGAGAGGAAGGAGCTTGTTGATATCGCTGCCTCTTCTTCCTGTAACAAATACTTCTTAGCTATCATTAAGGAAAAGCATGATTTTGTGTGAGGCATAAGAAGTTCCTCTCTGCTTCTGGGACCAGCTGAGAATTAGCAGTGGGCCTAGGTTATGAGATTTGTTCAGTTGTCCACCTCTAAGGTGAACAAGGGCGATAGAGAAATGTCTTTGAAGAGAAGTTTCAGCAAGGATGGTTGCAACCCTCAAAGCCTAAACCATCTAAGAGGAAGCCTCACAAACGCTCACCGCTTGAAGCCTCCTCAGGCAAGTGTGTGGACCCTGAGCAGAAGCTGTTGTGCAGGATGGTGAGTAAAACCAGCTCCAGCATACACAGCATCAATGGAAACCTGATTTAAAATGGAGAAAAAGCAATGCTTCAGGGACAGAAAATTGAACAGCCTGGCTAGATGAGATTACAGGTGCAGAAACCGTGCAAAAACTGCTGACTTCCGCACTGAGCTAGGGTTATCTGTAAGATTTACATTAGCCACATCTTCCATTAGCCCATTTATTTAAAGCAAAATTCACATGCTGACCTCCAGAGAGCTTTTCCAAATACATTAATTGAAACATACTTGTGAATAGCAAAAATATGCATACAACAATATTTATATACAGGAACCAGAATCACTCTGGCATTTTTAAGTAGGTCTCAGAAGTTTTTGTTTGTTGTTGTTTTGTTTTGTTTTGTTTTCCAAAGGAAAGTTATTGTTACCATTATTACCCAGGGGAAACAGAGACAGCTGAAAAGGCTTGACTGATGACGGTGGTAGATTTGGGTAGATTTGTAACTGAGAATTCTTCAAGCCTAGTGTAGTACTGTAGGACACACACTGCAAAGACAACTTCAATTGTAATTCAAACTCTTGGATGCACCAACATAAAATATCAGACAAAGACAAGTGTTTCAAAACTATTATGGAATTTTATAAGGCCTCTAAAGTTATGCAGCAGCATTTCAACTAGGCCCAGGCAAAAATTTAAAGTTTCATTAATGAGCAAACAATAATTAAAGTTCATTTTATTTCTTCACAAATATAATGAAGATGAGAGCAAGAGATTTTCTACCAAAGGACAGAGGTGAAGCTAGAAAAAAAAAATGTTCTCTGTGCTGAGTGAAAGCACAAAGTACTAGCAAAGGAAGACAGAAGCACTGTATGACTCAACAAGGTTTCTGAGGAAAAGCAACCTCATATAGAGGTCTGTAGTATTGCCCAAATTATCAATACCATCACTAAAATCTCTAGTGATCAAGAAGCTGGGAAACATCACAAGCGCAACTTGCATGTTCCTTTGCTGAACTTCAGGGGCACTTTGCAGTCTTGGGTCACAGCAATTCTTTCACACTTGCCACTTATTAATGTGATCTCTCCCATGCTATCCAGGTTGCATAGACCCTGGACACACTGTCACCATTAATTCTGGAACTTCCCCATGTTTTTTTTTTTTTTTTTTTCCTGAAGTTACTTATGCAAATAAGTTTTAAACCATTTTAAGGACCACACATTCGCTCCATTTCAAGGCAAGTTCTGCAAAAGAGTTGGAAAGAAAGAACAGTTTTCTCTTGAGAAGGAACACAGGAGATGGATTACTTTGCCTTACAAAATGTCACATTGTGATGTCTGTCATCTAGAAGGCGAGTTTCACAAGTCATTAATTCAACCAGATGGTGGTGCAGTCTAATAGATAACATAAGCTGGATGGGAACATAAATATCAACAAAGGCTCTTTTGCAGACACAACATAGTTTCCAACCTACACATTTGCTTGTGGGAGATGTGACATCAAACAGTTTTAACTTACATTTTAATATTGCTGCACAAAGAATTGTTTGGGCTCAGAGAAGATAACAGTTGCCTGTATACCAGAATTTAAGAACAAAATCTTTGACCTGCTATTAAACAGGCATCTGTTCATGTGTCCCCTTACAGCAAGATTAAAGTGCAGTTGTATCACCATGAAAAAGATCTCTGCTGAGTTGAAAGGCCCAAAATATAGGTAGGAGTGTAAAAAATGGTCGTGAAAGCCATTCAGGTAACATAT